CCGCTAAGCTGACATTAGATTGCCTCCTGTGATAGGAAAGGCTTTTCCCCTTCTCCCAACCACTGGCCCCGACACTTAGCTTTTGGAAGACGAGCGGACAAAAGCCATCGTCGGTCAGACAGGGACGTTGAGATGTTCTCAATGTGTGGTTTCGGTGCTGCCGCTTCCAAGCTGTGGCTACAAGCCTCCCCAGGGTACCTAAGGCAAAACAGAAAACGTGACTATTGCCCTCAAAAACAGTAATCCCCAGGACTCCTCCGCACCCCTGCCCCAGCTCACCTCAAGTCTTGATTTGACTCTGGAGGCTGCCCAGAAGGTACCTGCAAAAAGAAAAGGGACACGCTTAGCATGCTGCTGCATTACGCTCGCCTATGAGTCAGCCTGCCTAAACCCCAAGTCACCTGCCCTCCTCTGCTCCTTGGCATGCCTAGGGCAGCGACAGCACCTGCAAAGAAACAAAGCAGAAAAGCATGATGAGATACTGTGAAAACACAACCTCCCAACCCTGACAAGTATGCCACACCAATACCTTAAGCTTGAACCCACCTGGAACAGGCATGCTGGGCTAGGATAGATGGCAAGCGGACCATCTAAAATAAAAAGAAGAATAATACATACTTAGAGCCGCACCAAAAACTGAGACCTCAGAAATAACAACAGCTTCGGTACCCTACTCAATGCTCACCTTGCCCACTCAGCCTTGACAGCTGCTCTCTGCCGTGACTTCCTAAAAATAAAGACAAAGAGCAGAGCTGAAACAGCCACCATTTATGCTTCCTCTGCAGAGACAAACAGTGACTGACCTGCACAGGGGAATCCCCTCACCCAGGATGGGTGGCTCTGCCCTGGATTTTATCCTTCTGCAACTAAAAGAAAGTTAGGATGAAAGTCAAAGGGCTGCAGGATACCTTATGGGCTCCAGATATCCTATGTCCATCTACAAATCCCATCTAGAGTCCACCTGCACCCCACATTACAAATTCCAAGTCCCCGGGACTTCTCCTATTGCACCAGGCTATGCGGCAGGGCAGAGCAGCCCCGGCACAAATGTGTGCTGACACTCGTGACACAGGACAGACAGGATGTGACAAACAAAGGGCACAAGACACTCGGAGCCACTCTGTGCGCTCGGTGAGGCTCGGCTCGCTTCGGCCGAACTCGGAGCCGCTCTGTGCAGCTCGGCTCGCTTCAGCCGAACTCGGAGCGCCTCGGCTCGCTTCAGCCGAACTCAGAGCCACTCTGTGCGCTCTGTGCGGCTCGGCTCGCTTCAGCCGAACTCAGAGCCGCTCTGTGCGCTCGGCGCGGCTCGGCTCGCTTTGGCCGAACTCGGAGCGGCTCGGCTTCATTCGGCCGAACTCGGAGCCGCTCTGTGCGCTCGGCGCGCCTCGGCTTCATTCGGCCGAACTCAGAGCCGCTCAGTGTGCCCGGCCCGGCTCGGCTTCATTCGGCCGAACTCGGAGCCGCTCTCCGTGCGCTCGGCGCGGCTCGGCTCGCTTCGGCCGAACTCGGAGCGGCTCGGCTTCATTCGGCCAAACTCGGAGCCGCTCTGTGCGCTCGGCGTGCCTCGGCTCGCTTCGGCCGAACTCGGAGCCGCTCTGTGCACTCGGCGCGGCTCGGCTCGCTTCGGCCGAACTCGGAGCCGCTCTCCGTGCGCTCGGCATGCCTCGGCTCGCTTCGGCTGAACTCGGAGCCGCTCTGTGCGCGTTCGGCTGAGCTCGGCTCGGCTCCCTGAGGGTGGGCAAGCGGCGCCGCCTCACGTTAAAGTCGCCCGGCTCGGGGCTCTCCTGCTGCCGCGTCCTGTGGGCAGCCTGGCCATCGCACGGGCACGATCGGGAGCGCGGGGTGGCACAGGAGCTCATTGGGCTGTGACCGCACTCGCGCTAATTAGCGCGCACGAGAGCAGTGGGCTCGGTTCGGCTGGGCTCGGCTCCGTTCAGGCAGCCTCGCAAGCCTGGCCTCAGTTCACTCGAGGCCGTCAGGTTCCACCGGTCTCACCTTGGTTCGGCTGAGCTCGTTCCATTCGGCAGAAGGAGGTGTCGTTCGCTCGTGTTTTTACAAATATCTTTCCATATTGATTGTATATTTCTATATTTAGTTTTATACTTCTATAATACTTCCATTATTCCAAATAAAAACCCCGTCTCTAACCAAATAAATAAAAAAAACCCTTCTTTTAAAGGATATTGAAATATTTTTTATTTATACTTTGTATAATTATATATTCATATTTTAATTTATCGTTTCTTTGGATGCATTACATTAATCATGATATATATATAAAATTTTAAAATAGATTTAAATTATTATTTAAATTATGTACAATATCTACTGCTACAACTAATTTTTTCTTATATTTTTAATTTTCATATTTATCTGTATGTATTTATTATATATTTCTAAACTTAGATTTCTACCTTTATATTATTTGTATTTATAATTCTTACAATCAAAACCCTGCCTATTGACAAATAAAGAAAACCCGCTTTATTTAAGTATTTTAAAAATATTTTCATGTTTATAATTTTCATATTTATATTTATAATTTGTTCAATATTACATGAGAACATACCTGCTCCTGCACTGCAGTGGGGCTCCCTCACCTGGGGACCTTGGAGTGCCCCAACGGCATCAGAGCCCCGCGTCTTCACCCCCTTCTCCTCTATTTAGAGAGGAAACAAAGACATTTTTTCCTTTTTTCTGGAAACACAGACATTATCTGAATCCTCTCCCCGTGTCTCAGACAGATAGATATTCAGTTATTAGTTGGCTGGGCAGCAGTTTCTTAAATAGAAGGATAAACAAGATGTGAACATTTTAGCTACAAGCAAATAGGCAAATCTGAGCAACGTACTGGTGGCCAACACCAACCACCAAAGTTATTTTGAAGCAATTTTTTAAACAATAAAATACTGATACCACAAAAATAAAGCAAAAAGCTAACTACTGGCTAAGAAAAAATTAACTTTTGACAGCAACAACATTCCAACCACACAGGCTTTTTCCCAATGTCATACCTTATAACTACCTCTCTTGGGAATTCTCATCATGTATCCCAAAAGGAATAAATACCTCAGAGCGTCCTAAAGCAAAAAGTAGCACACATGAGCTCCTCACACTCCCGGGAGGCCGGCACAGCGTGCACTGAGTCTGCAACAAATTCTGCTCACTGAGGGTCTGCAAACAGAGGTTCAACTGATGAACTGAACTGATTTTAAAGAGAGGTTTTCTAAGCACTGAAGCACACCAAAGAACAAGCAGAAACAATTCTTAAAAAAACCTGCAAGTTTTGTTTAGCATATATGCGACTGATTTCCACGCTGTGGCTTCTCACTTTGATTCGTCTGTAGGTTCAGGAAGATGACAATGCACACTCTGCCTTCCCTGAGCCCCCCACAGCAGCTGAGCGCTGCTCCGTGCGCTCAGATCATCAGGAACTGGATTACACATGCCCGGATGGACTGGAACTGCTCTGCTGCAGATTCAGGAGACGATGGCAGAGAGGGGCTGGCCGAGGCGTCGTCCGAATTCCATTTCTGTGTGACGAGAAGCAGTTTGTTCCCAACAGCTGCAACAATCCCCAGCTCGCTTCCGTGGTGAGTACCGATGGCACACAAATGGCAGCCCGAGGAAATCATGTTCTGGGCTCTAAGTGGTTGGGACAGGGTCTGATTTTTTTGCTTTGTACTTGTATGATGATTAGTACGACAGGGCCCTGATGGATGACATGGCAGCACAGAATTAAAAACTCCTCAATAGGATTACATCGACTTCTAGGAAAAGACAAAAGCCTGGGACCCTTCTGAAATCTACTTTTAATCCAGAGCACACGGATTGTCACTATGCTGCACCTTCCAGCTTTTCAAAGCAGCTTACTTCTGAAGACCAGGAAACATTGATTTCTACAGAAATAATGGGCAACCCCCAGGCTAATCTAAGCACTACTGTTTAATAGGGGATCTGCCAGCGTGCCAGTCCAGCTTCAAGTGTGCTTTATTTCAGTCTAACATCCCCACAAAATTCTTCTCACGTCTCCCAACCCTGAAATCTTATTTTCCCCTAAAGCTTCTCATCATTAGCAATTTCCAAGTAACATGGTATTTTTACAACATTCAAAAATGTCATGCTGGACTGTGCTAGAGAGTAATCTGCAAATATAAGCTTAGCAAAGTTTGAATTGACTTGTCCAGAGAAAAAACCTACAAGTGAACACCTATACCTGCCTACAAAGAGCTAACAAGCCCCTGGCAGCTACCAGCATCAAAGCACAGTGGATGTTTCTAATACAGGGTAAGGATAACAATATCACCTTTTGTTCTCGCCAGCTTGTTTTCCCTGCAGTCATATTTTGCTTCTTATGATTTTTTTAGTTTCTGTATCTTCTTGGACAGCACCAAGCCTGACGACAAGGATACGAGAGTCTTTCCCTGTCATAGGGAGAGAACCAGGAAAACAGTTAAAAAAAGAACAGGGTAGTTTGAAATTCATACTTCCAATGAGAAGCAGCGCCTAACAAACAGAACAAAAGTAAACAAAGCATGATACCTCCCTGGGGACGGAAGACTTATAAACTCTCCAGGATTTACGACCAACCCCTTCAGGACAGCAGCCAAGTGTCCCATGAGGTGGTGCTGCACCAAAAAACGATCTGAGAGGTTCCAAAGAGTGAAATGCACAATATTTTGCAAAGCCATAAAATCTTGCAAAATAACAAAAATACAATAGATATAAACTACAGGGCAAGAGTACAAGTGTTCACTTCAAGAGCTGGAACCATCCAGGTGAGCACCTGATAACTGGATCCTCAGCAGAGTTTGAACCCTTCAGGACACAGAAGGGTTTTCCCCAGAAATTTCACAGACTGAGTTTTGATAGAAGTACACTTGCCAGACGCTCAGAAACGTCACCCATTCTCCAGGTGTCTGGAGAGAACTGCAAATGGCTCTCACATAGTTGAGCTAGTTCTGTAAGGTCTCAGGGTGAATTTCACCAGATTTCACCTCCAACCAAACAGGGCAACTCACAGTGGGACAGAAGGAACCCAAAGATTGGGTAAGCAGAGCTGCAGCAAATACTGAGGAAACAAACACAACAGCGTAAAAAATAATAAACCATCCTTTTTTTTTCTCTTGCTTTTGTTTTTTTCTTATTCAGATCAGCATAGCAATTAAAGAGAAGGTGAAAAACTCACCATTACTGAACATTTCATCATCTGTAGGCTGAGCACCCTTAGCATAGAGGACTCCAAAGTTAAAATTCACCGATCCCTGGGAAATAAAACCAAATATTGTATGATAAATAGTCAAACAGCAGACGAAAAAATTTGTTTCCTCTAAGGACTTTTGGGTATGTATGTACCTTTGCATTACACATCAGAACATACACTTTATACCATCTCCTAATAGGTAAAAATTTACCTTTAGATTTTGATAGTATAGCATGAATTTTTAACTTAAATTGGTGATCTGTTATTATTAAGTTGCTGCTTAAAGTTATTTCTGCTGTTATGTTCAAAAAAACATTAATTTTTTTTACTGTAATGACCAATTGATTTCAAAGTCATCACAAGCCCATCAAAATACAAAGCTGTATTCACTGGATGGGTCTGTGAGCTAGAAGTAGTTAGGCTTCTACTTCCCTCTTGTTCTTCCAGAATCAATAAATCCTGTCAACAAAACCATGATCTTTAGCCCACTGCTGTGAAAGATTCTACAAGGATCATGGTTTGATTTGTGTTTAGAAGTTTTGATTTGAAATGGCCAGTTCAATGGATAAAGACAGTTTAAGTAGTATTACATTACTACTATTTCTATTATTATTTTTACTATTACTACTACTATTATTATCACCTGCTACTGGAAGAAACAAACCAGTAGTACCTATACTTAATTACTTTTATTTCCAGAAAATAATAAAGAAAAAGAACCAAACCAAAAAAAGTCACTTCCTACCTTTTATATCAAGGGACGAAAAATTTCTCTTGGGCTCTTCTCCAATTTATCAAGACTCATAGCACTGAAAGGCAAACAAAACAGTACTTTATAGAAGGGCAAGTGCACATTTCAAGGCTGAACCACCAACTGATTGCAGTGACAGCAGTTACAACATGAATCCTTCCTAGAGCCTCTGTTAAATGGAATGTTCTGTGGAACTGCCATTTCTTTCCCAAAACACTAACTTCCAACACTTCCTAATCGTATTTTGTATTTCAAAACAACAGAAGTTAGCGAGACTCTGTGTGGAGGTCAGGTTTAAATTTATTTCCTTCTAAAGCACAGAGCTCTGTTCCATCACCCTTCCCTTCGGCTCTACGCTGAATCATGGTGAGCATTTGAGGAGTGCTCAATAACCAATTCTATTTCTCTCTTTTTCTATTTCTCTCTATTCCTAAATAATTCAAGACAAGTCAAATGAAAAATTACAAGTTCAGCATCAAAGTCACACTTTTTCCCTTTGTCTGGTCAAGAACAGGCTCTAAATCCACTTATTGCTGCCTTCAACGATTAAGACTTGCAAAACCATTTTTACATGTTTTATAGGTTTATCATAAAACCCACAGAACGCAAGCTCTGAAATACAGGAAAAGGTACACAGGCAAATATCTAAAGGGATCACTTATTTGCAAATACATACCTTGATAGAGATCGCACTGAGAACCTTTCTGTGGGACTCTAAGGGAGACATATTTTCTGAGTACCCTGTAAACAAGAAAAGCTAGGATATATTACAGGACATCCCCACTTTTTCTACATATTCAAATAGGATTTTTAATAAAAACAATTCAGTTAAAAAAGAAGGAAGAAAACCAAGCTAATTTTACTCAGCTATATTTACTCCCGATTTAGAGAGAAAAAAAAGTCACGGGTGCTGCAAAGAAAAAAAAAAGTGAACCATACATGCCTACAGTAGAATTTTAAAACAAGTGCTTGGATAAAAGAATCTTATGGAACGTGAAGTAGAAAAAAAGTGAAACCACTATCAGACCTGCCTATTTTCTCACCATTGTACAAGAAAATCCTAAAAGCAGTATAAAGTCACTGCCTAAAACCGGTCATGGGATGTAACCAAGAACAATTTAGGCATTTGCTAATCTAGACAGAAACCTTTTCTGGATGCTAGTGTCAAATCACAAGTTTTGTCTTTCAGAAGCTCGACAATGCTGGAAAGCATTTTCCCTGGGGCTCGGGAGGGCAGAGGCGGAAGGGGGTGAGCTTGCAGATCACACCTGCGCCATCTGAAGCATACAGTCGGCCTGCTCCCTGCGCTGGGCATTCTCCTGGCCATCTCTGGGTTTACCGGTCAGCGCCGCTCCACCTGTTTTCATGGCAGAAAGAGCCACGAGCACTAAGGCAGGCAGCAGCCGTGTCATTCCGGACACGTCGCAGCGGTCTCTGCTCGCAACGCCCAACACGCAGCGGAGCCGCCTCCGCCCGCAGCACCGGCAGCAGCCCAAGGGAGACGGCTGCAGCTCGGGGGCTGCTGCGCCTCCGCCAGCCTGACGGCAGCTGCCCCACCAGGACCGCGGGAGCGCCCGGCGCCGCTCGCCCGGGGTGGCTCCTGCAGCTCCCGGCCCGCGGCAGCAAAGCACCGCCTCGCCCTCTGCCATCAGCGGGCGGCAGTGCCCCCGCCCCCGGCACCGCTGAGTGAGACCGAGGAACCGGGCGGACGCTCCTTCCGTGCTGCGTGCGGGCAGCCGGACGGAGGCTTCGCCCCTCCAGCGTCGCTGCCGCGGCGCTGTCCCGTGCGGGAGAGGCGCCGGGAGCTGCCCGCGCACAGCCCCGCGCGGCCGCCTGGCATGCCAGCCACTCATGTGCCGCGTCAGCCGTTGCGTCACACGCCGCGCCGGCAGCAGGGCCTGCCGGGAGTTGTAGTCTCGAGCTGACAGCCACGGCTCCGTCCCCCGCCACCGGGAGCTGCAGTCCCTCCCGGCCATCAAACGGGTCCTTCGCCCCTGGACGGGGAAGGACCTGAGGTAGCACCGCTCCTCCCGAATGCCCTCTCTTTTCCCCTCCAACTCTTTTTTCTTTTTTTCACTCTGCTTTTCACCCCTTCCCTTCCCTCTTGCTCTCCTGCTTCCTTTCCTTTCCTTTCCCTTTCTTGTATTTCTAATCTTGGTTTTCCTTTCTAGCTTTAGAATAAAAAAGCAGCACTAGAAACTTTCAGGCTACCTCGGAGTAAAAAAAATCTCCAAAACGAAAATGATTTAGAGAAAAGTATTTATTCCCTGGGAGCCTGAAATTTTCTACTGCTGCACATGACATAGAGCTTTTATTCCTTCTTATAGATAGTTGATATTTTATACTTACTTTATACAGTGCCACCTGCCGTGTTCGCCGGCGCGCTGCAGCCCCGGCACTCCCTGCCATCTGTCCCGGCACACTGCAGGCACAGCAATCCCTGCCGTCTGCACAGGCGCACTGCAGGCACAGCGATTCCTGCCGTCTGCACCGGCGCACTGCAGGCAGAGCGCTGCGGCGTCGTTCGGTTCTGTTTAATTAAACTCGGTTGAAATCGACTTGGTTTGGCTCTTGGTCTAAACTCATTTCAGTTCGGCTCTTCGGCCGAACTCGGCACGGTTCGGCTAAACTCGGTCATATTCGGCACATTGTCTAAATGCGGCCAATGTCGGCTACACTCAGCTATCGGTTCCAGTCGGCTATCATCGGCTCTTGGTGTACACTCGGCTGTTTTCGGCTATACTCGGCTCTTCGGGTAAACTCGGGTGTTTTTGCCTACGCTGGGCTGTTATCGGCTACACTCGGCTCTTGGTGTAAACTCGGCTGTTTTCGGCTGCACTCGGCTCTTGGTGTAAACTCGGCTGTTTTCGGTCACACTCGGCTCTTCGTCTCAAGTCGGCTGTTTCCGGCTACACTCGGCTCTTCGGTTCAAGTTGCCTCTTTTCGGCAACACTCGGCTCTTTGGTTCAAGTCACCTCTTTTCGGCAACACTCGGCTCTTCGGTGAAACTCGGTTTTTTCGGCCACCCTCGGCTCTTCGGAACAATTCGGCCCGGCTCGGCTCCCTCAGGGCAGGAAAGCGGCCATGACAGGACCCCGGCACAGAGAGGCGTTTACCCAGATGCCTGTCACAAACCCGACGAAATTCGCCCACCCGCGGCGCCGCTGAGCCCACAGCCTGTGTCGGATACACTTCAAACGCCACAGAAAAATCCGTTGGGGCCGCCATGATGTCAGTATTCCATGCAGGCAGTCCAGTTACACCCACCCCGGTCTTCCACTTCCCCGCCCTTTTCGCCGTCGTTTTGAGAAGGTCAACGAAAAGTCCGTGACATCCGCGACGCACCACTCCCTAGGTGGCGGCCTCTCCACTGCCTTTAGGCGCACAGCTGCAGTACCGCACTCTGCCCACAAGGTGGGAGCACTGCCGCACGCCCCAGCAGGGGGCGCAGCGCACCTTGGGGCTGCGGGCAGGGAAGGCAGCAAAAAAGAACAGGGGCGACCCCCGCTGAAAACCACTCTGAAATAAATGCCCCAAAACAACCGGGAAGAGGAAAAAAAACTTCTGCCTCTAATCTAATAGGATAAAAGACAAAACAAAACAAAACAAAACAAAAACCCCCCAACAATTTATTTTTAAAAAATATTTAAATATTTTTTAAAATATTTTTTCATATTAATATTCACATTGCTGTTTATAATGTATATTGATGTATACTGTCCATTTAAACATTTCTTTTTATAAATACATTTATATTCTACATTGCATATATCCCTAAAACTTAAATTTATTTGTATATTTTTATACATATTTTTACATAGTAAGTATATATTTCTGTTAGGATTTTTACTTCTGTAACACTAACAGTATTCAAAATAAAACCCCTGCCTCTACCCATACATGCCAAATAAAAACCCCTTTAACTTCAACTGTATTTAAATTTTTTTTAAATAATATTTTCCAAATTTATATCCACATTTATATTTAAAATGTATACTGATGTGTGTTCGATTTTGCATTTCTATTTTCCAATTTATTTATAAATTTATATGCTATGTTACATCTGTTCCTATTACTTATATTGTTTTATATATTTTTATTCATATCTTTATATATTTATTATATCTTTCTGTGTTAGGATTTTTACTTCTGTAACACTTAGATTATTTAAAATAAAACCCCTGCCTCCACCCACGTTAAAGCCAAAAAGAAAACCCTTTCTTCTCAACTGTATTTAAATATTTTTTAAAATTCTATTTTTCAGGTCCATATTCACATTTACATTTAAAATGTATACTTATGTATACTGTTATTTGTATTCTCCATTACATCTCTTCCTATTATCCCTATTTACTTATATTTTGTGTTTATATATATATTTATATCTTCATTGTATATCTCAATATTTAGAAATATATAACAATGGTATCTACATTTGTATTATTTAAAATAAAAACCCTGCCTCTAACCCAATAAGAATAAAAAACCCCCAACCCTTTCTTTTAAACAATATTTAAATAGGTTTTATCCTTATGTCTGATTTTTATATTCATATTTGTATTTATAATGTATCTTAATGTATATTGCTTACTTATACATTTATCTTTATCAATGTCAATTTATAAATAAATTTATATTCTATATTACATCTGATGTGAGTAGTTATTTATATATTTTTAAATATTTTTATACATATTTTTATACATTGATTATATATTTCTGCATCAAGATTTTTACTTGTGTAACACTTATTTAAAATAAAACCCCTGCCTCTACTTAAATAAAAGCCAAAAAATTCCCTTTCTTTTAAACTATATTTACGTATTTTTATATTTATATTGCCATTTATAATTTATATTGCAGTATGTTATTTATATTCTATACTACAACTCTTCATATTACTTACATATATTTATATTTAAATTTATATTCATAGTTTAGCAATTTCTCTTTATATATTTATTATATATTTCTATCTTAAGATTCACATTTCTATAATACTTATTTAAAATAAAACTCCTGCCTCTAACCAAATAAAAACTAAGGACACCCCTTTATTTAAACCATATTTAAAATTTAACAAGTAACTTTATTTTTCAAAATTAAAATCATATTTATATTGATAATTTTTATTTACTATATTCATAGATATTATATATATATTAGAGAGAATACCTTCTAATATAATCATAGCTATAAAATTTCTGTATTATATATTCCTTTTACTTATATTTATTAAAATTAAATATTTATATATATTTGTATTTGCATATATATTTGTATCTGAATTTTTGTTTTATTTCTATTTATATCATTTATTTTAAAAACACCAGCCTATAACCTAATAAACCCCCCAATTTATTTAACTATATTTAAATAGTTTTATAATTACAATCTATATTTATATATCTTTGTGTGTATATATATAATAGACTATCATTTATCTATATGATAATATGTTACAATTATATGCCATATGTTATAGTTTTATGTATGTATCTGTTATCTATATTTACGTTTACCACTCTAATGTTATATTTATTTTTAAATGCATATTTATTTCTATTTTCATCTCTATATTAAACCACAGAAGTTCATTAACCCGACACACCAGAACCACAACAATACTGTACCTTTGTCAGCATGGGCACGCAGCACACGCTCATCTCATCGCAGCACATCAAAACAAAACCTATTGCTATTACTAACAGAACAAACATCCCACAACTCTGAACCCTAATAAAAACTCAAATAAACCTAACTGTAAATAAATTTTAAATCCCACTATAACTAGTCCAAAACCTCCGCACATTCTCATCATAAACTTCCTCCTAAACCGATATCTCAAAAACCCCAAAAAACTCAAATACACCTTGAAAATGACACAACTGCTAATAAAAACAAACACCCAGTAAAAATTAAATCAAACCAACTCACTAGACTCAAAACTGTACAACTGACCCCAAACATTACTAAAAGAAGTCCCCAAAGCTCTACCTTTATGCGAATGCACAAATAATAACATATAATGTATAAAAGTTATTTGAAAAAATTAAAAAAATTAAAACCATGAAAATAAAAAATCTAAACTACTAAAATACTAAAAAAAACCCCACTACCCAAATTAAAAAACATATTGCCTATAAAAACCCACCATATAAATGCCCCTGTACCCAAAAATAAAACTAAAAAAAACTATCAAACCAGAAAGAAATCAGAACTTAGGAACACTAAAACATAACGTTCAAGAAGTCACACCATATCCCTTATCATACAACTACAAACAACATAAAACAATACAATGAATTCTTAAAAACCATCTTAAAACCACTGCATTGAAAAACTTTTCAAAAATTAAAAACTGCATTTAACTAAAGCCATCTAATAAATTCACACCCAAAACTCCAGCAGCCCAGCTGGCCCTACCAAAGCTGTATGTTTATGCATACAGTAAACAAAACCAAAATCCCAGTAATACCTATCAGAAATCTATGAAAGAAACCTATTGAAATTAATCCTATCTCAAATACAAACCAACCCATCCAGAAAGTTAGCTTCACTCAAAAAACAATTTACACAGAGTTAATAATACCAAGAAATAAAACAACACACCATATACCAGTAATGAATATAATAGTGAAGAAAAAAAAACCTACATTTTTTTCTTTTTGTTTTTTAAACGAAGTTCTTTTATTAGCTAGAACAAAAGATTTTGCCAGGACTGTAACAACAACTTCTTTTTCTTCTTCTCCTTCTAAAATGTCCCTTCTCACTCCCAAATTCCTTTCAACTCCTAAGTTTACATCCAAGCAAAAAGCAAAATTCATGCACTCGTGTGTTCGCTGCTCCTGTCAGATTCTCTGTTTCCCTCCACATCTTCTTACACTTTCAGTCTCCACGCTGTCCCTCCGCGATGAGTCTGACAGAAGAATTGGCACAAGTTAACAGAGCATTTCCCTCCCTCCCTCTGGTTTCCTCAGCGCATTTCAATCCATCCCAGGCCTGCAACGATGCACCCTCACCCCAAAGCTCACAGCAAGCATGCAGCAGCTCAGGCTCACTTGGCTCCAGGGCTCTGTGCCTTGGATAGCCGAGGAAACTTCTGATGAGCCTCCGTTCCAATGAACTGGAATGCAAACTCACCTCCATCTCAGAGCCTCAGTGACCTCGGCCAGCCCCTTCCTCGCTTCCCTGGGTCACAATGACTTCCAGGCACAATGATGCCAAGCAGGTTTTTGTCTTTTCTCTTGAGTGTCAACAGGTCAAATATGTAGGCTTTGACATAACTAATTACCCTCTCTTTGAACTCTCCCAAGGACATTTTAAAGAAAAGACAGAAGATTGCTGGTACAGCCATATGGGATAAGGAGGAAAGCAGCAAGGATCCGAGGCCAGCGGCGCGGCCGGGCAGTGTCACGTCCCTGCCACCCTGTGACAGGGCACACAGCTGCAGAGCCTGCAGGCCCTGGAGCTGCCACACGGATGGACCTGGTTCCCTCCCCGGGTGCCCAGAGGGAAACCTTAGGGCAGGTGTCCACCCCGAGGGTGCACCCAGAGCCCCGGGCATGGATGGAGTCACTGGCTGCTCTCTGGGGACGAGACCCTCCCTGCAGGTGACACTGCCTTGTCCTCTCCCTCCCTGTGGCACAGGCACCTCCAGGGTCTATGACCAGCCTCCTTCCGTCAGCATCCAGGTGCTGTGTTAGAGCCAGAGGGGTCGAGGCTTTCCAGAACCATAGCATCCTTTAGGTTGCAAAAGCCTTCTAAGGCCATCGAGCCCAGCTGCTGCCCCAGCACTGCCAAGCCCCCACCCAAATCAGGTCCCTAAACACCACATCTTGCCATGCTTTAAATGTCTCCAGCAATGGGGACTGCCCTGGGCAGCCCGCTCCTGCGCCTGACCACCCTTTCAGTGAAGAAATTTTTCCTCAAATCCAATCTAAGCCTTCCCTGCTGCAACTTGAGGCCATTTCCTTTTGTCACGGCACTTCTTACCGGGGAGATCTCGGTACTTAAACCTTACCTGCTCCTTCCCTAGGAGCTCTCTGGCTTGCCTGGATGACAGGAGAAACACTCCCACCACAGGAACGGCAGCTCAGCAGGTCCCACACCGAGGCAGGGGAGCAGCTGTCCTCACCAGAGCTCCCGTGTCAGCTCTCAGAGATCGGCTCTGCTCTGCCTCCCGGGCAGATCTCTGCTCAGCGCTTCAGAATTGGCTGTTTGGAGGAGGGAGAAAAAACAGGTCAGCCAAGGTTTTTATCCAGACTTATCTGATGTCTTTGCCTGCTTTGCCTCTTCCTGACTTCCTCCTGCTAAGTAAACAGCTGCCTTTGGACTTCTAGGGGGAACTGTCACGTAATGCTTGAAAAGGAACTACAGAAAAGTGCCTCATTTTTAAAGACTCAGCCAAAAAGACAGATAACTGCAGCTTCTCCATCCCCACTGCCAGCAGAGCTGGCATGGACTAGGCCAGCTCTGCTCCCCCTTCAAGTTGTTCCCAAATCTGCTGGATGAACTGAAGGCTGCTTTGGCGTTCCATTGCTCTGCTTTTCCCGAAAAGATCTTTCAGTGCTGTTATCCCTCCACGGGAAGGGCCTTTCTGTCTCGCACACTCGGGGACACAAGGCTACGCGAATCTGCAGCAGCCTCTGCTCCAGGTGGGAAGGGCTTTCTTCCTCCTCTGGCACCTGCCTGGCACAGGTTGCTCAGAGATGCTGTGGCTGCTCTGGGATGAAGCTCTGAGCAACCTGGTCTTGGGAAAAATGTCCCTGCCCACGGCAGCAGGCTTGGAATGAGGTGATCTTTAGAGCCCCTTCCCACCTGAATTATTCCATGATTCTATGAACTCAAAAAACCTGGGGAATAAATTTGTAAATGTCACTAAATACATAAAAGCACATCCCATTGATCCAATACTCACCAGCCCATCCGGCCAAGGTCAGAGCTCTCTGCCCACCGAGGACGCGGCAACCAGCACGGACCTGTGAAGCCAGAGAGGAGTTTACAGAGACCGGGAGGCGGCGGACGGGACGAGCGCCCGGCCCGACCTTCCAAAGCTGTTGGCAGCGAGGGCGGGGAGCGCCACGGCCCCGCTCCGCCGCCTGCCCGCCGCTCCGGGGCCGCCCCGCCGGGATTGTCCGGCCCGCGGTCGCTCCCAGCGCCTGGAGCGGGGCGGGCGCGGGGGCTGCCGCCCTGTTCCGACGCCGCTCGCCCGCCCCTGCCCGCTGCCCCGGCCCGCAGACGGCTGCTATCGCGCCTCCGCCGCCCGCCGAACCCGGCCCCGTCCCTGCCATTTTTCTCAGCCATCGTGTCCCTTTGCACTCCTGAATCTCCTTCACCCCTCCCCGCCATTTACAGACCCCACCCGCCCCTCGCCCTTCCCTCAATCGGCAGACGCGTCCTTCCCCCGGCACCTAGCGGCAACGGACAGGGCGCTGGCTCGGGGGAGCTGCAGTACTGCTCTCTGTCCACAAGGTAGCAGACTTACCGGGGTCTGCGATTTTTGCCACCACCTTGAGAAAGTCAAGCGAGTCCGCGACATCCGCGACTCGCCACTCCCTAGGTGGCGGCCTCTCGGCTGCCTGTCGGTGGAGGACTGCAGTACCGCGCTCTGCCCACAAGGCGGCAGCACTGCCGCCCGCCCCAGCCGGGGGCGCAGCGCGCCTCGGGGCTGCGGGCAGGGAAGGCGGCAAAAAAGAACAGGGGCGATCCCCGCCAAAAATTCCTCTAAAATAACTGCCAAAAAACAACCTGGTAGAAAAAAAAAACAACCCTGCCTCTAACCCATTAAAAACAAACAAAAGAAAACCAACCCTTTTTTAAAAAATAATATTAAAATATATTTTCTTTATATGTTTCTCATAATTATATCCACATTTATATTTATAATGTATATTGACGTTTAATGCAATTTATATTCTATATTACATATATTCCTATTAGTTCATTTGTATTTCTTCTTTTATACATATCTTTATATATTGATTATATATTTCTATATTGAGATTTATATTTATATAGTGCTTATATTATTTAAAATAAAACTCCTGCTTCTACCCAAATAAAAACAAAAAAAGCCCTTTATTTTAAATATTTTAAATATAAATTTAAAACATTTAAAATGTTTAGATTTTCATATTTATATTCACATTCACATCTAAAATGAATATTGATGTATAGTGTTATTTATATTCTATACTACATCCCTTCCTATTACTATTAATTCATATTTTATGTATTTAATATATATCTTAATATATTGATTTTATATTTCTATATTTAGAACTATATAACATTATTCAGTATATTCATATTCTTTAAAAAAAAGCCCTTCCTCTAACCAAACACAAACCATAAAACGCTCTGTCTTTTCAACTATATTTATTTATATTTCTATTTTTCATAATTATATTCACGTGTGCATTTATAGTTTATATCAGTGCATTTTATTTATAAATGTATATAATAGACATCAGAATGTAATAATATAATTTTTTATTATATATCATATATACTGCTAATACTTCTATTAATGTAGATTTTTTATTTTTATATATATCTTTATGTATTTATGATATATTTCTATACTTAGATATCTACCTTTATTTATATTTATAATTTTTATAATAAAACCTCTCCTTATTACCATATAAAAACCAAAAAAAACCTTTATTTTAAACTATATTAAAACATTTTTATATTTATACTTTTATATTTACATTCCTAAGTGGTTGTATACTATATTATATTTACTATTATATATTACCACATTATATTATATTTACTGTTATATGTTCTACATTTAGATATAGAATATATATGACATATAATAAGACATATACAGTATAATTAGTATCATGTATTTTATTGATTTCTATTATTGTGTTTTGGTATATTTATATACATCGTATATAAATGTATATATTTATATACATGGTATATATTTAGATACAACATTTTTCCCTTGCCATTTAAAATAGAACGCAGGGATTCCCTGTCACCCCTGTGATACCCCTAACAGCCTGGAAAAGGCAGGTTTACCTTCAATCAACACCCTTGAAACCGCAAGTGAAGGGGGATCACCCCCAGTTCAAACACAGACAATAATGAAAGAGGAGTTACTTCTCTATGTTTAATTTATTTTGCTTAATTTATTTTGTCCTCATAAGCTCCTTTTTTTTCTCTTTTTTTTTCTTTTTTTTTTTTTCTTTTTTTGTTATGCTTTGTTTTACCCTGGGGGCACCAGAGAGTGATTGGCAAGGTGAAATTGAAAAGGGGAAGGACAAAAGCCCCCGCTCCAAATCCACACGGGCTCACCTTTTCGGCTGCTGCTCCCCGGCACAAAGATTCGTCCCTCGGCACCTCCTTTAAGCGACGCTCCACGTATCCAAGCGCGGATCCAGGTGTTCCCCCCGACCCTGTGAGAAGCTCTCGCAGTCCTTCCATGAGACAGCGCCGGGAGCGCCCCATAAACCCCTCCACTCAGCAGCTCCATGCAAAAGGGAGCTGAGGCACCCAGCGTGACCACCCCCCGCCCGTCACCCACCCGCTCCTGCACCGCAGTGGGGCTCCCTCTCCTGGGGACCTTGGGATGCCCCAAAAGGCATCAGAGCCCCGAGTCTTCACCCCCTTTTCCTGACCCCTAAAGAAGGCACAGAACGAGTCCGACTGCCCCGGACAGCAGCGCAGCGCAGCTTGGCTTCCTCCAAGCCCTTTCCACACGTCCATCCCCGCAGAAAGGGATTCTGCTGCAACAAGAAAGGGGGGGGCAGCCCCAGAAGGGTTGAGGTTCCTGCCCAGCCTCGCTGCCCCGGGCCAGGGGCAGCGAGAGGGAGCGGCACAGACGGCGGGCACGGCGCGGCACCGAGTGGGGGCCGCTCTCGGCGCCATGCCGGGAAAGCCGCAGCTCCGGCGCTGTCGGGCGGGGCGTTTGACCGGCACGGGGGGATCCGCCGAGAGCCTCCGGCCCCGTGCGGGGACTCCTGCAAGGGCCGAGGGGCGCCGGGCTCCGGCCCTCGGGCCTTTATTCTCCGGCACCCCGAGCCCCGCGGCTGCGGGGCAAAGAAGGAAAGGGGGCACGGGAAGACAGGAGCGAGAGCAGGGCATGAGAAAGGGCAGGGAGGGAGGTCAGACTGTGGAGGAATGCGGGAGGCAAAGGGAAAGCCCGGGAGAGGGGTAGAGGGAGGGTGGACAGAGGAGGGAGAGAAGGGGAACAGAAGGGAGTAGCGGGGTAGGGACAGGACAAGAAGAAGCGGCGGGGACAGGGAGTCGGGATTGGGAGGGAGACGAGAGTAGGGTCTCGGGGACAAAGAAGAGGAATACGAGGAGGAGGAAAGAGAGGTAGAGAGAGGGAGAAGCGGGCTTCACAGAGCCCCGGCTCCACCCCGAACCCGCCCTGCCCTGCGCGTGATGCTGCGCTCGGCGAAGCTCGGCTATTATCGGCTGCATTCGCCTCTTCGGCTCAGCTCGGCTCGGTTCGGCCGAACTCGGAGCCGCTCGCTGCGTTCGGCTCAGCCCGGTTCGTTTCGGCTGAACTCGGAGCCGCTCGCTCCGCTCGGCTCAGCTCTGCTCGCTGAGGGCGGCGCCGCCTCCCGCCCAACGCGCACAGCTCGCTGCGCTCCCGCTGCCGAGTCCCGCGCGCGGCCCGGCCGTCCCACGGACACCCCCCACGGAAGATTAGACAAAGCAGTTTCTATGTTAAACCCTTTTTATCCCATAAGGAGAAAACTTCTCTACCTCCTTCGTTTACTCATTTTTCTTCTTTGATGTCAAAATCAGAGTTTCAAAACCCTACTCAAGTACAAGACTTAGTAAATAGTCAATAAAGTAGTCCCGTAAATTTCATAACCTACAGAAAAAGTTATACTTCTGTTTCCACAAAAAAAAATCACGTGAGATTCCTACTCACTGTGTCAAACCTTATTTAAAACACACAAAAAAAACCCATCATAAATAGTTCTACAACCAAAACAAAACTAATAAGCAACACTAACTAAAACCACACATCCAAATGCAGTGTTTATCAGTCACGAATCCTAAAAATCCATTTGCTACATACGTTGTTAGTATACCTCTTAACAACTAACCTTACCCCGCACAAAATTTAAATTGTAAATCAAATAATCCAATACATACTATAAACTTAAAAAACATTTTATACACTCTTACCCAAATTACAGTTAAACCACAAAAATTAAAATTACTAAAATCATCACCAAAAAAGGCTTGTATAATATTTAGTTACCAAAAAACTCAAACAAAAAAACACAAAAAGCTTACCTCAAAGTATCAAAACTATCATTTAAAACAATTAACATGACTAAGATTCAACATAATAATACATAAAAAAAATACATAATCACTCAAACACAAATTTACTCCTCAATAGCAATGATCACAGGAGTGATGAACTGGGTCTGTTGGCCAGTTGCTGAGGGGGTCTCAGCATAATACCAGTGGACTGCCTAAAGCACACAAATGAGAATGGAGGCTAAGAGTCGCACCAGAAATCGAGAGCTGAGCAATACCAACTGTTTCCATCCACTGGTCACTGATCACCTTGCCGACTTACCACATTCTGGTAGGCAACCTGAGAGCTACACATACTGGTGCAGTCAAACAAGTGCAGTAATTAGGATAAACAAATTTTAGATAGTCATTATAAAACATGTTTCCATGAGCTTCTAAAGCCATCCCCAACTACCCTGGTCAGTTTGAAAAACAGCCATAGACAAAAAAAGTAACACTCAGTCTGTTTTAAAGTTTTAACTGCATCTTACCAAAAGGATGAAAGCATTCTGGGCCTTTTAACGATCAAATTGAAACTCGTTCTCCCCACGTCTCCAACTCTGACATTCGCAGATCTCTTACTGATCAACAGTTGTACTGCTACAGGAGAAGCCCACTATCACAGTAGCTGGCATAAGAGAAGTCACGTCATATTACCCAGGTCAACCTAACAGAGGACACGAATAGCAGAACTTTCAACTATCAACATTTACCAGTAGTATTATTGTCAAACATCATTTGTGTTTGGAGATATAAAAATGGGGCATGAAAAGCTCACAATAGAAAAGAATAAGCCTTTAGGCTTGTTAGAAAAAAAAAAAGGAACAGAAAGCATACTTTGATAATGTTTTTTGTATTTATGGAAGTGAAATATACACATTGAAAATACTTCTGTATACCCACTGTTTTTGTTATGACAGTGACAAAAAATTATCACATATTGAAGCCTGGAAAGTGCTAGAGATTATGTATAAGCAACAGCCTCAGCTATTTAGAAGATAGAGTTTCATTCAAGACCATACATCATTAGGCTATCAGTCAAGGTTGATCTTTGATTATAGCAGAGAAGCTTAACTATTTTTAAAGTTCCTGGTCTTTAGCTACATCTCACATTTCATCCAAAAGCCTTTGTGCACTTTAAAACATGCAATCTCTTTTCTAGGTTTAACTAGTACTTAATAGGGCTAAATTACGATAATGCACACAGGTAAAAACATGGAATGTTTAGCTCAGCAATCACACCACCAAGCCCTCTTCATAAATTTATTATCTACACTAAAAACTCTTCAGGATTCTAAAGTCTAGTGGGCAACAAACAGAAAACATTTGAAATATACAGTCACTTATACCAAAAAGTCACTAAATATGCTAGCCCTAGTTAACAGTGCAATTTGCTTTAGAAGGGGTCAAGCCTAGTTACTAGTTTGGTTCAGAACAGGTCAAAGACACTCTTCACGAGTCAGCCTTCAGCCACTACACTCAGCTTTAGTCCAACCCGACAGTGGTGAGCACCTACTTGGGGGACAGCCCTTCTAAGGGCATCTGCCACAGCTCAGATCACCTTCAGTCTGCCAGCTATCAGTTTAGAGTCTACGAAGTTATTTTTCTTGGGGCTACTTGAGGTCTTGCTCAGATGCACAAAGTCCAGACATGTACGAATGAAAGCCCTAAAGGAAAGAAAAGCCCATGACCACATACCTCTTGACTACAAAGTCTCTGCCTACAGCTCTTTTCTCCGTGTTGTTTCATCTCTCCAGTCAGGGCCCATGACCTACTCAGTAAGTACAGTTCGCAGTCACAGCAGAAATATCTGTAACAGTTCATTTTACCAGCTTTACAGAAAATCTCCAGTGGCATTTCTAGAAAACAAAAGGACACAATGCAACAGGCCACATAGTGTACCACACCAGATCCTGGGCTCCGAGTATGCTCTAACTAATTTTTAGCTCCTTATTTCTAAGGGGGAAAAAAAGAAAAACGAACAATAATTTTTCCTCTAGCGCAAACCAGCCACCTAGTCGAGGACTATCCACACTTCCCCACGTAAACAGTCGCTTACGGAAAGGGTCTGCAGAGCAAAAGCCTGGGTGGACAAGGTCTCTGGCCTCTGCAGCACTCCCCAGGCCAAAGGTATCCTACCTATTTCGGAGGCGTGTATAAAGAGCGACTCAGTCCCCACTAAACGAAAACGAACAGTAACCAGCAGCGAGGAAGCGCTGATGGCCTGCCTGTGCGCCGGCGGCCCTGGGAAGCCCCACGCAAAGCCGCAGCCCGCCCCGCGGCCCACTGCAGAGCAGAGCTCCGCTGCCCGCAGGCGCGTGACCCACGGCCGGCGCGGGCCCGGCCTCCGCCGGAGAGGGCCTCCCGAGAGGAGGGGGCGGAGGGGGAGAGCTGGGGGGAAAGGGGAGGGGAAGTGCGATGCGGCATCACGGCGGCTGCGCGGCGCAGCCCCGGAACGCCTGAGCAGGAAACTCCTTTTTTGGGCCGCGGAAGTGCCATAAAAGGCATGGAGGAAATGCCAAATATGGTCGGTCCTGTTCCGGACGGGAACAGCGGGGACGGTGCTTCTGTTCAGCCGGGGCCGCCCCCGGCGCGCTCCCGGCGCTTGCGCGGCACCGCGACCGCTGGAGGCGGGGGGGGGTGAGGGGGGTGGTCTCCTCCGAGCCAAGCCGGGCGGCAGTTCCTGTCGCTAGTTGTCAGACCTGAATTGGGTTTTAAATCACAAACAGCTGAGGTTTAGTTCCGAGCAAATGTGTCTTCTGCGCGTAAGCGCAAAAGCGAGAGGTTTTCGCTTCCTTCCTCGCCGCTGCACTTCCTGCAGGGGGAGGGTTTTCCCCGCCAGTGACAACACCTGCTGTTTCCCTGGGAACAAACTCCTTGAAACCGACTCATCCTACTAATTGGACTAGAAGCAAACTTTTTAAGAAACAGAAATACTGTGTTCAGGCCAACAGCAAACGAAAGATCTTGCAGAAAATGTATAGGCAATGCTTTCTCATAAGGCATTTTTCTTCCCTGAAATCTGTTCTCATTTTATGGGACAAAGGCCACGAAAGTAGTGGATGCAGAAGTCCCATGTATTTATTTCCTTTATGTTACGCTAGCAAGGGTGCACCGGCCTTCATCCCTGTACAGCCAAGCACTACTCCCTTACTTGGATCACTTTTCACACAATGCACTAAGATAACCTATCTTCTTTTTTGCTCTTCAGGCATGAAAATTACTCATTTCAAAATGCTCTGGAGAACCTGGGGCACCCTCAGGCTCATCAAGCATTGCTTGACAGCCTACTTGGTCAGTTTTTAGCACAATCAACATTCCAGAAGGCTAGACCAGGAGACAGTAATTGTGGTTACTTCAAAAGAGGTGGTGATGCACCTAATGCAAGGACATGAGTCCGCCATCCACGTTTTTTGAAAGCAACTGGACATAAGATTGATTTCATCTCCTCTCTTTAAACAGTTTGTTTTTGTTTTTTTTTTCTCCTGGAGACAAGTGGTTATGTGTTGGCTTTGAAGCAACTAAAAGAGTTGGGATTGCTGTGGCGCAGTCTTCCTAAGTAGTAATTTCAAGGAAAGTGTAAGTCTGCACAATTTGATGTTTTATTTATTTTTTTTCTGAAGGGTATTGTACACCAAATATCCCAATGGCAGAAAAGCGCATTCAATGTGTTTAGAAGCCAAACAGTCACTTTCATTTTAACAAACACAATTACAAAGTAAAAATAAACCACAAAATAATGGACTGCATGTTCATAACATACAAAAATTGCTGCCTACTCAGTAGGTAACTACAACATTCCAACTCCCGAATATATATATATATATAAATTTACATTTTTGTAACAAAAATAGACTTTGAGAGGTGGAGGGAGAGAGGGTCTGGGGTTGGTTTGTTTTTTTGTTTGTTGTTTTTCTGTTGTTGTTGTTTTTCTGATTGTTTGGGTTTGGGTTTTTGTTGTTTTGTTTTCTTTTTTTGGGGTCTTTTTTTTTTTTTCTTACATTCCATCCCCTGGCCCTTGCTCTTGTTCCTCTCCCCACCCATTCCCTGCTCTTCCTTACATTCTTTGAGTAACATCCCTTCCACTTTAAGGCAAGATGCAAAGCATCCACTCACACAAACGCATGACGTCAGCAAGGCTTCACAAAAAGGCACCAAGACTTGTAACTTTTAAAACAAAACTTCTGCCACATGTGAGTGTCTCATCAGATGATAATTACATAGCATCACTCCAACATGCTCAAATACAGTAAGTGCTGTTCCCAAAGAAGTTTGAAACGCATTATAGCATTGTCACTGAAATAGAATTAACATCTACAAAATATGGCCCTGCAAACTCCAAATTATACAATATGAATATGCAAAGATTTTTTCCACATCAATAGTACCTAAAGGAAAGCAAAACCATGGCACATGTACAATTTACATTAGCTAGATACTTAATCAAAAGTCCTTTCTTCCTAATAAAAGGCTATTGTTTACGGGGAAAGTTATATTGAACTTATATCCACAGTCCATGCAAATTAAGTCATTCAACAGAGGTGGAAAACTTAAGCAGCAGTTGATTCAGGCAGCTGAATTTTAAACTAAATAGCCTTGCAACGTATGGTGTTGTGGGAGTAATCGGAGACTCCATGTCTGATAATACCAATGGAAATGGTGAATTATCCTGTTCCAGAAGGCAGCCTCAGCAGATCTCAATTGTCCTTGGAGAAAAGGCTGAGTTCATGTCTGAAAGTGCTGAGGTTACCTGTGAGCTGAAATTGTTGGTGACTCCTGGAGATGAGAAGGAAGTGGCCACTTGGGTCTGAAAAGTGGCAGTGCCAGAGGGGTAAGTGGTTGCTATAGAAGGAGATGGGAATGTGGTGTGTGCAGGGGAGGGATAGGAAGAGGGAGCAGGAGAAGAATACGCTGTGCGCACCGGGGAGGGATAAGTGGTGGCGATGGAGGAAGGGTAGGATGTAGTCACAGCGGATGAATAGGCAGGAACTGGGGAAGCAGTTGAGGCTGGAGCTGCCTTTTCCACTTTCTTGTCCTTCTGCCTAAGGTGGATTTTAGTGTGCCTCTTCCTCTCATCACTTCTGGCAAACTTTCTGCCACAAATGTCACAAGCAAATGGCTTCTCTCCTGTGTGCGTGCGGATGTGCGTAGTCAAGTGGTCACTCCTGCTGAAGTTCCGCATGCAAATGCGGCACTGGAAAGGTTTCTGTCCCGTGTGGATGCGTATGTGCCGTGTTAGCTCATCAGATCGTGAAAACCTCCGGTCACAGGACTCCACTGGGCAGGCATAGGGACGCTCATGAGGAGGCGTCTTGCTGGGGCGGTTGGGGTATTTCCTCATCCTGCTGGGCTTGATCAGCTGGGACTGATAATTAGCATTGAGGGTCTTCAGCTCTTGGGAGCCAGTCTGCGTAGCAAATGCCTTGATGGTGGACAGTGGCGTGAGGGAAGGCTGCTGTGCTCTGGTCTCAAGAGCTGGGAAGGGCTTCTGATCAGCTGGAACAAGACTGAGCTCACCCTGTTGCTGAGGGAACAAGTAATCCGGGATCATTGGCACCTGAAAGTTGGTTTTAGTAGTCGGATAAGCTGGAGGTGGATACTGGATGGGGGCTCCAGAGGGGTTGGGGAAAGATTGGGTCTGGGATTCAGGAAAAATGTCAGAGCTGGAATTGGGGAATGTTGGTGCAGCCGAATAAATTGGATTGTTCTCACTGGCTTGGACAGAGCAGCTCAGTGGGGAGCTCTGCGAGGAGGAGGATGGTGATGATGAAGTAGGCGTAGATGTGGGAGGTGCATTAGCCATGCCCACCAGCCCACTGACGAGGCTGAAGAGGGGCTCTGGCCATAGCGGGTTGCTGCTATTGGTGGCCGGCTCTAAGGAGAAGCGCCCCGTGTAGGTTATCGGTGGCAGTCTCGTCGTTTGGTTGGGATAGCTGGTTTCTGGCAAGGTTTTCTCGTTGTTCAGGGAGATTTCGGGAAAAGTGTCTGCAAAGAAAGGAATAGCGATTAATTCCAGCAGTTACTGCAGCTGCTGCCGGTGCTTCGCGAGCCCTCCCTCTAACAGCACAGCCCCAGATTCTGGTTAATTACTAATTGAGCGTAACATATTGCAGCGTCGCTGGCAGGTCTCCAGCCGCAGCTAGTCCGGAGCCGCTGACGCACGCAGGAGAATCCCCCCGCGCGGCCGCCGGGACAGAGGCGACGCTGCGGCGCGGAATTCCCGCCGGCGTCGCTGCCCCCGCTGCAGACCGGGACTCCCCGCCCGCCTGGGCGAGGTCAGCGCGCTTACCTGCCGCGAGGTGCTCGAAGTGCTGCTCTCCGGGCTCCCCGGCGGCGCCGAAGCCCGCACTCTCGGGTGCCCCGGGCGGGGCAATGAACTGCGGACCCCCGCCGCTGAGCAGCATCATCTCCTCCAGCTTGGGATAGTGAGTGTCCATGGCAGGGGGCGAGTGCGGGAAGGCGCCAAAGGGGTCGGAGATCTGCAGCGGGGGTAAGAGCTGCATCTCTGCCTTGGCCGCGGCCATGAGGGCGCCGGGCTCCGACTCTGACGGGTGATGGCGCTGCCGCCGCGGGGCCGGCGGACGGGCCGGCTGCGGCGAGGCGGCCGTCGCCTGCTCTGCGCCCTGCGCCGCTGTTGCCCCGGCGCTGCCCGCTGAAAGCTATCGGCTCCCCGCCCGCCCGCCCGCCCGGGGCTCCCCCCGGCTCTGCCCGCTGGAAGCGCTCGGCTCCCCGCCCGCTCCGGCACCGCCTCTATATATCGGGTCTCACCGACCGCAGCCCGCCCCAGCCCTGACGTACATGGCCATATATGGAAAGCAGGAAGCCCTTATATGGATGCGGGCCGGAGGACCCCTCCTGGCGTCAGAGCCTGGCACCGGGGAAAGCCGGGCCGGGGGGCCCCGCCCGCCCCGGGCTGAGGGCCCCGCGCCCGGTGCAGGTCTGACCCTCGCCATGGGCAGCACCGCCGCAGCGCTGCCGCAGCATCGCCGGTCCCGGGAGACGGGTTCCCCGGCCCCTGCCGGCTCCGGCCAGCCCGCCGGAAGCCCCCACCGTACTTTCCATATTAGGAAACAACCTTATAAGTCTCGATTCCGGCGGAGGCTTCCCGTTCCTTATATGGCGATTCCGGCCCCGGGTTGGGGGGGCGCACAGCCCGTCTGCAGACGGGTGCGCGCCCGCCCCCTGGCAACAGAAGAGCGCGGAAGCCCCGGGCCGCGAAAGAGGGAGGATGCTGCCCGGGCGGGTGGCACAGGAGCCTCGGGGAGCACCCGACAGACCCCGGCGTCGCCGCCGTGTTTTCGCGGGCAGAGTTCCCCCTGGTCCCCACCCCGTGTGCTCAGCTCGCACTACTCGCCTCCCCTCCGTCTCCGCGGTGGAGCCAAGCGCCGCTCACGGCGGCTTCCGCGGCAGCCTCGATGTGGAGTTTTCTGGGTGGTGGCAGCGCGCCCAAGGCAGGAGCTGCCCGCTCCCGGAAAAGAGGAATCTCCGGGATTCCAGCGGC